TTTCCAGATCTAACTGCTATACTTATAGTGTCATGTCCAGCACTCAGAATAATTAACATAAGGACAAAAGGACACAAAGAAGTTACAAAACTGTCACCAAAAACATTTACTCAACACTGATCTGTTTCCTCAAGGTTAAGCTTGAATGGGAAGACATTCTAAAATACACAGCCAAGGAGTGAGGTGTGGCTCAAGTTAGAGTGTTTGCCTCGCAAGCACAAGTCCCTAAGTTCAATCCCCAATACTGCAAATAAATAAATAAATAAATACCCAGTGGGAGACAGAGAAGACCTATTAGTGAGGAAACACTGATTAAGACAGCAACAGCTTTAAGGCACCAAAGAGGAGCAGGCCATATCAGGCTAATGAAATGCCATGTCAACTGCAAAGCCCAAATTTTTCTGAAGTTTTCACATAGCAAATACATACATATAAATTTCAACTTCCCCTCTTCTGTCTTACAAGTTACTTTTACAATTCAAGAAAAGAATTTCCTAGGGGAGGAGAGGAAACTTCCAGTTTGAAATATATCTTCATTATTTCTATTGGAGGAAACTTAGATTATTATTAAAGACTGCCTTACATTCATGAATTCACCTGAAAAACTTACTAATAATCCTTCAATGACCTAGAGTTGCTCCAATCACCTTCTGACACAGACAACAAAGGTGGAGGGGAAGAGAACCCTTTAAGTACATGAGTAAGCTAAATGGTTCATACATTCCCTCTGTCCCTTGCCCCCTTATAAATTGTCTCCCCTTAAGCTAAGGCTTTTCAGAAGGCATCAAAATGGAGTAAATGAAAAAGAGGAGAATTCTAAGGAAGAAAGAGGTGAGAAGCCGTGAGATGACCTCTCTTTCCAAGTTCATAAGTAACCATAAATTCTTTCTTGTGATGGTAGGGTTTGAACCCAGGGCCTTGTGTGTGCTAAGCACACACTCTACCAGAGTTACATTCCAGTCCCGAGTAACCATAAATTCTAAAGTCAATGAAGAAAAATAAAATTTTAAGCTATGCATCACATGAAAACAGGTGTGAACAAGGGAATTGGACTTTGATCACATGATAAAGCGAGAGCACACAAGGGAGGGGTGAGGATAGGTAAGACACCTAAAAAACTAGTTAGCATTTGTTGCCCTTAACACAGAGAAACTAAAGCAGATACTTTAAAGTAACTGAGGCCAATAGGAGAAGGGGACCAGGAACTAGAGAAAAGGTTAGTTCGAGAAGAATTAACCTAGAATGTAACACACATGCACAGGAAATTAATGGAGTCAACTCCCTGTATAGCTATCCTTATCTCAACCAGCAAAAACCCTTGTTCCTTCCTATTATTGCTTATACTCGCTCTTCAACAAAATTAGAGATAAAGGCAAAATAGTTTCTGCCAGGTATCAAGGGGGTGGGGGAGGAGAGGGAGGGGGCAGGGTGGGTGGCAATGGAGGGGGTGGGGGAAGGGGGGAGAAATGACCCAAACATTGTATGCACATATGAATAAAATAAAAATTAAAAAAAGAAAACAGGTGTGGTCTGGTACAACAAGCAGATAAGAAAAGGACCTTCAGGAAAGACAACACTGACCGGTCGGGTTCTCTTGAACTTGGATTCCTCACGATCTCTGTGCTGCCCAGAAGTGCTGCTCCTCTCCCTGACATTTCTGTATCCAGGACTGGGGATGATGTACTCTTTTCCTATGTCAATATCCTTCATCTTCGCAGAGTAGAAGTTCCGGGCTCACAGACTCTTCACTTCAGAATTTCTAAAATTAAAAATTCACCAAGAGCAGACATGTGCTTAATAATATGCCAAAGGGCTTTAAAATAGGAAGAAAGTGCAAAAGCATTGAAGCTTTCTACCATTATAGCTATAAAAATAACTTTTCAAAAAAAATTTCCAAGTATGATTTCACTTTTTAGAAGAAAACACAATAGTGTCAAGAAAAATCACCTTTTCCCAACTCTATGGAAAAAAACTAGAAAAAAATAAACACACTAGTAAAGAAATGTCCTCTTCAATTAAGCTCAAATCCAATGGATACAGCATTTAGATAAAAAAAAAATGTTAAGACTTTCTGGAAACAATTTCTGTTTGTTCCTAGTATTACACAAACAGTATAATCTTACAATGGACATATTTTCTCCTACCAAACTTCATTTAATGAAAACTTACAAAACACTTATCCTAGCAATGACATATCTCATCTCTGCATTTTTGTAATTAACTAATGCATTAGCTGACTTTATTTTAAAGCTCCATAAAGTTACAGAGCTAAAACACAAAACAATAAGATAACTTCAAACACAGATTCCCCTTGGGTTATGTTCTAAAATCAGTCAGTGGTGATGGGTGCACACTTCTGTTAATACATGAAAAGAACCAACAATATTTACTTATAAACTTTAAAAGGGTGAGTTTTATGATATATATATCTTAAGAAAGCTGTTGCTTTAAAAAAAAATTCCCCACCCTTTACTACTGTCTTTCCTGAAACACTTGTTCTACACCACTATTTGCCTGGCTAACTCTAATTAACACTCTTTATCAGTTCTGATCACTTTTTAAAAACACTCCTCACCCATCTCCAGAAGGTTCACATTTTCAGGAATACAAGCTGAGAAAACCTTGCAGAGCAGCCTCACTAGATATTAAAGTGTAGCTGTGCCGCCCTTTGGAATCCATAAATCACAAGTATCATTCCTGCAGCACAAAATTCTAACAACTGTAGTTCCTTTTTAAGGTATTAGGAAAAAAAAGAGAAAAATACTTACTAATCCTCTAAATAAAAAGGACTAAATATCCTTCACAGAGCTTGACTTCTTGCTTTTCAGAATTCTGGTTCAAGTACCAGAACTGATATAGCTAAATTGTTTATCTTTAAAAAAAAAAAAAATCACCTTGTCCAATGACAAAGTGCACCATAAAGAACATCGGCTTACTAAGCAAGAGCACAGTGATCGCGTCATTGAGACCTCATTAAGGCTAAACTATAAACAGACCTGGCATCTGCCAGTGTCCTCACTGTTGAACTGTAGCTGCAGATCAGAGGAGCCTTTCTTGTTACGGGATAATGGAAGTCCAGCCTTCCCCTCCAGAGGTTCCCCGGCCTAGCTCATTATTTGCAAAGATTGGTGAAATAGGTAGAAAGGAGTGGAAGGCGCTTGAAAGAGAGGAGGCCAAGGTAACCATTCGCAATATCAAATACCACAGAAAGAACACGAAGAGCATCTCGAAGATGTTAAGAACTGGTGAGAGCAACATTCTTTCAATCATTATTTCAAAGGGTGATGCAGAATCTGTAGGAAGCATGAGTAGAGGAACAGCATCTACTGTGTTATGACAAAAAAAACTGTTTTGTGCCTGTTGTCACTGGTAGGATAAGATAGGGACTTTAGTGACCTATCCTAAAGCATCTACCCTACAACTAATCCTACCCTAAGGGACCAAGTTATCAATGGGCATCGGGAATCGTCTGTCATTATTTAGAACACCCTATCTCTTTTAATTTCCTGGGAAAACAGGCGGAGTCATGAGAGTATGCAGACCTGATTAGGCACAAAGCTACTATCTCTTGGCCTTGAACACCATCTTCTGTGTCTCAGGAATATGACAAGGCACTAGGAAGCCCGATAGGTCCAGGAAAGAAACAAAGTCCCAAAATGAAGCAAGTAACTAAAGGATCACTAAGTCAGACTTGGGGGAGGGGGGGTACTATACACTATTTTCTTGTGTTTTCCTTTGAAGTTGGTAGGAAGTCTTTTTAAAATACTAATGCTAACTTGGGCTGAGGATGCGGCTCAGTGGAGTTCTTGCCTATAACTGCTGGAAGCCCTGGGGTCAATCCCCAATACTAAAAAGAAAAAGGGGGGGGGAAGTGCCCAGACTCAAAACTTGACAGGGCTGAGGCCACCTGATCAGCTGCCTTCTGTACCAAGGCTTTCCTTCCAATGATCACCCTCCACAGAGATACAAACTCAACTGCTCGGGGGAGGGGAGTCTCGCTGGACTAGAGAAGTAAGTAGCCAGACTAGAGTTTCCAAGCCGCCTTATCGTCAACATTCCAGAATAGGTTTCCAGAACCTCAGGGACCTAGCTCCAGGCCCTCAAGCTGCAAGAGGACGCCAGGCAACTAAAATGATACAGACTTGCCACGCCCCCTGGAATCCCCTTATGCCTCAGAACTCATCTTTCACTTACGCCAGACTCCAGCACAACCTCGCCATTTGAAACTTTCCGTTCGTTTCAGTGCCCATCTGTATCCAGCCGCCCACGTCCATGCTGGACCAAAGTGATAATACAGAGCAATGCGCGGATCGGTGGAACAGAAGTGAAAAAGGCACTGGGTGACTCTATTCCTGGGTTTGCTGTGCGAGCTTATGTCATGTACCTCCATTTACCCGCTAGCAAAAACGAAGAGCACGACTTACCTCGATGTCTGGCGGCGCGGTCTCGCGTCCGCAGCTTGGGCAACAGCCCACACCCTTCAGGGTAGGAGCATCCCTAGGGCCGGCCTAGCCCGGGTCGCCCCGACCCTAGGGCGTTCCCACGCCAGTTCCGGCCAGGCCAGAAGAGGCGACTGCTACCCACACCCACGGACCGCGAGCGCCGCGCCCCCTGGTGGCCTCAACGGGGATGGATCCGGCACCCGGCCACTCTTTCCAAACCTAGATGCCTACCTGGCAAGGCGAGGACCCCACTATGACCCCCCGCTCCCGGGGTCGCAACCGAAGGAGGGGGTGGTGGGAGAAGAGAGGGAGGCAAGGCCACACTTCTCAGATCTCCAGCCTTCCCCGAACTGTTCATATCCCCGGCCACAGCCTGCCACACCCCGAGGAAACACGGTGGGAGTGACCCACCGAGTGACACAGCAGGGTTAAGGCAGAAGCAGTCACCTACCTGCGCCCCAGCTCCTAGACAGGAGCGCTGACCACTGGAACACACTCCGGAGCATCAGCACCGGAGCAAAACAAGCCTTTATAGCGGCATCGTCCGCCCCACCGCGCATGCGCGCGGCACAAAGCTTGCGCAAGACTGCAGGGAATCGTAGTCCCGCGCGCAGCAGCCCCGGGCCCCGCGCGCCGCGCAGAACTACGTTTCCCAGGAACGCCGCAGCGCGAGGAGGGTTGCAGACTGCTCCTGTTCCCATCGCGCACCCAGCTCTGCCCCATTCTTCCCGGGTGCATGCAGTCGGTCTGGAATCTTCTCTGAGATCGTGGGTCCTAGTGGGCAACGGGCAGGGTGGCCGGTGGCCCTGGGCTTACAGGCAGCGGAGGTGTTCGTAGTTTGGGCCATACGATCGTGCACGGCTGGTCACGTGCCAGAAAATACCATGAAGGTCATAGTAGCTTGCTTCTGCAGTCAGGGTCAGTCCAGGTGGCCCAGCCCCAAATCTTATCTGTCGTGTCACCTAGCGTTTTCACATTTGCTTGCTCATGATTCCACTCAACATTGTGCACAGATAGCACCTTTGTCAATTTTATCCCAACCGCCCATCATATAATGTTATGCTGCCTGGTTTCTAGATAACAAAGTGCCAGGATCATAGTTTTAAAAGGGTCAAGAAATGGTATGCTAGTGGAAGGGAGGCTTCCAGAAGAATTGGACGGTTTGTTTTTCTGTTTTTGTCTGCATCTTCAATATCATCCCTACTTTTTATCTGGGGTTTTATATACCCAGTCTTGTTTCTTTAAATTTTCCTAAGAACCGTCAGTGAAGATATTTTATGATTATCCATTTAAGAGATTTAAAAGAAGGCAAAGTGACTGACTTGTCCAATCTTCATACAACTAGCTAGTTGGCTAGTGTGAAGACACTAACATCATAAAGCTGAAGTTATTGATAAAGTGTATCCTTGAACACAAATGAATTAATAGCCCAATGCAATAGAATAAGGAGCCTAGAAATAGACTTGTGTATGTATGTAAATTTGATCTGTGACAGAAAACCTTACAATTCAGTGGGTAAGTGAAAAAAATTCAACAACTAACACTAGGACAATTGATTATCCATATGAAAGGAAAACTCAGTACTTAATACCACCCAGAAAATTTTGTTTCAAGTAGATCAAAGTCTTAAATGTAAAAGGGAAAACTAAAACTTTTAGAACAAAGTAAGGAACATCTTTCTGAACTTGGGAGTTAGGGAAGAACTTAAGCAAGATAAAAAGTAAAGGGAAAGATTAATGTTATGGTTTGGATATGAAATGTCTTCCCTAAAAGAAGTAAAAAAAGTATTGAAGGCTTGGTTCTTGAAGCAAGCAGTGTTCAGAGGTGGGACTTTGGGGAAGTGTTTGGATCATGTGGACTTTGACTTTATGACTGGATTAATCTGCTGATAAATTCATAATGTTATGGCATATTGGAAGGCAATGGACACACGAAGAGGTGTGGCGTGGCTGGAGGAAGTAGGTCACTGGGGATGTGCCCATGAAGGATGTGGCCCCTTCCTGCTTCTCCCTCTGCTTCCGGGCCATCCTGAGTCCAGCAACTTTGCTCTACCCCATGCTCCCTGCCACGATGGTCAGCCTCATCAGGCCCGCTGCAATGGAACCAACCCTCTGAAACCGTTAGCCAAAATAAATCTTTAAGTTGATGTTTTTTCAGGTATTTGTCAGAACAACAAAAAGCTAACACAACTGGTAAGTTTTTAACTATATTAAAATAAACTTACATACAAGATCTCATAAAGTGAAAAGGCTAACCACAAATTATAACTGATGTTTTGAATATAAAATATTGGAATAATTTCTACAAGTTAATAAGAAAAGACAAATAATATAAATAGACAACTCACAGAATAGGAAACCAGAGCAGCCACTCAATTTTGAAAACGCGCCAATCCCACTAATAATCAGGAGCATGAAGATTAAAATAGAAATGAACTCCTGCCTCGCTAAGGTGTACTTGTATTTCTAACCCTGCCTCAAATGTCATAGCACTCAAGTTACGGATCTGATACCTTCGTATAAAATAAAAAGATTCTAAAATCTCCATGAAATATCTCAAATATATTAGTTATAGTTTCTTTTAAAAATGGTTGAGGTCTGCTTAGCACAGGAAAACTATAGCATTGTTTTCATCTGTCCAAGGAAAGATAGTTAACTTATTTACATGATATTGATAACAACATATGCCTTTCTTGAAATGTGTCTGCTGTGAAATATTTGAGGGGATGTAATATTTCCCAACCTCAGGCCAAACAGCTAGAGAATTGGTTGCAATGTAGAATTCTATGTATTTAATTTTTATGTTACAAAGTGAACTAGAGACATTCATTCACTATTTGATGGAGATACAATGGAGCTAAAACAAATGAATTTCCTGCCCTTGTGGTGCTGAATCCCCAAAACAATACACATTAAGCAGGATTTAAATGATAACTGTTACAAGTAGAAAAGGAAGGTGTATGCTGTATCTAAAAGATAGGAGTTTGTGCAGTGAGGACAGTAGAAATGGGAGGAGGAGAGAGCAGTTCAAGAAGAGGAATGATAAAGTCCACGTGGTGGTAGAAGGAAGGGAGCATCTCCCAAGGCCTTGTAGACCATGATACAGCTCTGTAGAGTAACAGCAAAAGACAATCATTTAAAGGGTGACTCAGACCAGGCACCAGTGGCTCACACCTGTAATCCTAGCTACTCAGGAGGCAGAGATCAGGAGGAACACAGTTCAAAGTCAGCCCCAGGCAAATAGTTTGTGAGACCCTATCTTGAAAAAAAAAATCACCAAAAAGGGCTGGTAGAGTGGCTCAAGGTCTAGGCCCTGAGTTCAAACCCCAGTACCACAAAAATAAAAAGGTGACTAAGGCAAGGGCTGAAACTGCTGTGGCTGGCAGACTGGAGAAAGACTTCAGTACAGCAGGAATGGAAGAGAAGAGTCCAGGGAAGATATGGTGGCTTGAACTAAGATTGTGATGGAAAGATAGAAGAGTAGATGACTTGAGAAATGTAAGAGGTAAACTCAACAGAACTTGTTGATGGGTTAGAAAGGGAGTGGTACCCCCTAGGTTCCTGAATATAGACCCAAGTGGATGATGGTCCACTCACTGACAGAAGTGTTCTACTGAAAAGCCCTCATCCTGACACCCTCATTCACCCAGCTGTCAGAGCTAATACCAAATAGTAACAGTCACCCCACATCTGCTTGACACTCATGTTGTGTGCTTCTGCCAGTTGTAAGGACAAATGTCTACTCAAAGATCATTTTGCAATGAAAGGCATTTTCATGGTAGAAGACCCTTTTTAAGTTAATCAATTGAGTTTTATTTGACATCAAGGAAATGATACAGTGTGAAAGAATAACGCAGTTCTTTAATGGTCTTGGGCAAATTAGATAAAAAGATTTAAGATGCCAAATGAGATCCAAATGATGTCAGAGCATATTTTACAGACAAAAGATTATAGTATTTTCCATAGAGAAGATGAGTTTGCGAACAGTACTCAGTGGTGTAGTCATGTTATGTAGATCATGGCATCTATTTGTGTTATGAAGGGAAGTGTTACACATCTCCCAACTTTATAGCAACGACTTCCTTTGTTACTTCATTGTTGCCTTACTTCATAAGCAATAAGGGTAGTAGTTAGTGTGAAATGAAGAACTGCTTTTTAAATTTTTTTTGGCAGTACTGGGGCTTGAATTCAGGGCTTCATGCTTATAAGTCAAGCTCTCTACCACTTGAGCCACACCTGCAGCCCACTTTTTAAAGTTTTTAAGTACTGTTACATTAAGATGTACTATCAAATTAGCCAAACAAAACAGATAGGTGTCCAAATATCAGCTGCTTGTTAAAAAATAAAAAAAGTTGAGAGCAATTATCTCATTTTAACAAAGGGATAAAAAATACCAAACAAGCATTATCCACCACAATATATTACTGTTATGTTGATTTTGTAGTCTTGAATGTATATAATTTGTAAGATTATTTTAATTTTACAGAAGTATATGACTTACAAGCATAAGGACCTGTATATAACCTTGTACATAGTTTTATGAATGTGATTATTTTATAAATTATGCTATATACTTATATTATAAATAAGAAATATTATAAAAGTAGATAAATTAACATTAGAAGTTTGAGCCAGGAATGACGGGGCACACCTGTAATCTCAGATACTCTGGAGGTGGAGACAGGAGGATTGCAAGTTCAAGGCCAGCCTGGATGTAGTTAGTGAGACTTTGTCTCACATTATGGGTTTGAGAGAATTGTTTCCCTTAAAAGAAGTCTGAATCTTCCAGCTTGGGAAACTGGACAACAGAATAACACCAAACCTTAGCTTGGTGTTTAAGTCCTTCCATGACCAGGCCCCACATAATACCATCCTGTTACTCTCCTACATGAACTTGATGTCCTGACAACACTGTCATTTCTGTGATTTCACTCTGGCTGTTTCCTCCCCTAGAAGAAACTTCTAAATCTACTCAGATAAAATAACAAACATCATGGCTCATCAACAGGCCTTGGAATTTTAATCCTCCCAGAATGACAATTTGGAACTGAATAAAATGGCACAGACTTTTTAACATCTCTCATGATAAGGTTATGTGTGGAAAATTCCCCCTCGTTGTGAATTATGGACCAGGCATCCATCAGGCCACAATAAGAATGGCAGGGAAGCCTACAGTCTGGCCTTTCAAAGGGAAATTCTGATACATGCTACAACATGGATAGACCCTGAGGACTATGCTGAATGAAATAAGATATCACCTACAATCCAGGATCCATAGGAAATGTAAGTCTTCCCAGTAGGAAGTTTCATATGAGACACTTAGAATAATCAAAATCATAGAAACAGAAAGAAGGATGGTAGTTGTCAGGGACTGGGGAAAGAGGAATAGAGACTCTTGTTTGATGGATATAGAGTTTCAGTTTAGTCAGATGAAAAAAGTTGTGGCAGTGGATGGTGGTGACAAGTTATACATCGATAAGAACATACTTAATGCTACCAAACCCTACACTTTTAAATGGTTAACACAGTAAATGTTATGTGTATTTTATTACAATAAAAATTAGAGAGATGGCTTTTGAAGTTTTTTTTTTTAATTAGGGGCTCGTTCTGTGGGATGAGGAGACATGACAGGGACTGTAACAGTGACTTACTGCAGGTCAGGTCAAGTTGGTTCCTTTTTGGGATCCCCATGAGAAACATTCCCAACAGATCCCTCCTACTGGATTTTTCACTTACATTTCCCATG